TTTTTTTGAGAGACGGAGCTTCAAGCTATCCCCCTGGGTAGAGTGCCATGGCATCACACTCACAGCAACCTCCAACTCCTGGGCTCAAGCGAGTCAACTGCCTCAGCCTCCCAAGTAGCTGGAACCACAGGCGCCCACCACAACGCCTGGCCATTTTTTGGTTGCAGCCATCATTGTTCTTTGGCGGGCCCGGGCTGGGGATTCAAACCCGCCACCTTAGGTATATGTAGCTGGTGCTGAGCCTAAATAGTGAAACCTTTAAAATTCTTTTAGTCCTCAGCCTGAACAATTACAATTTGGTACCCTTTAAAGGAATAGCTTTATGTAAAAGTTATCTTCTTAAAAAAACTTTAAAACCCTTAAAATTCTATAATGTTTAGGGCAGCACCTGTGGCTCAAAGGAGTAGGGCGCTGGCCCCATATGCTGGAGGTCGTGGGTTCAAACCCAGCCCCGGCCAAAAACTGCAAAAAAAAAAAAAAATTCTGTAATATTTAATTGCAATAGCACATTCAGTGAGGAAAACCCAATTATGCTCTCACATTCCTGCTCTAAACTAACTAAAAGCATTTAACTTACACTATACCTGTTTCAATACAGAGGCAGTGGTTCCCAAACTTTGCTATACACTAGAATCATCTAGGAAGCCTTTGAGAAAAATCCTGATGCCAGGCTGCATTCCATAACAATAAAATCAAGATGTTGGCAGAGCATGGTGACTCACACCTGTAATGCCAGCACTTTGGAAGGCTGAGAGAGGAGGATCACTCGAGCCCAGAAATTTAAGTTACCGTGAGCTATGATCATGCCACTGCATTCCTGGGTGACACAGCAAGAATCTGTCTCTAAAAAAAAATTAAAAATCAGAATGTGTAACAGTGGATGCCAGGTAATAGTTTTTTTTTGTTTGTTTTTTAAGATTCTCCAGTGACCCCCCCCCAACATGCAGCAGTTTGGGAACCACTCTATTAGGAAGATCTTTTGCTGTTGTGTCCCTAATATCTAGTATACTGATTGGTAGTAGGTACTCAATAATGTATATTCTTTTTTTTTTTTTTTTTTGAGACAGAGCCTCAAGCTGTCCCCTTGGGTAGAGTGCTGTGGCATTACAGCTCACAGCAACCTCCAACTCCT